CAGTGACAGTGACAGTGAAAGTGACAGTGACAGTGACAGTGAAAGTGAAAATAGAAGTGAAAGTGAAAGGTCAGTCAGAGGTTGATTCGAAATTCAGTACGAAATGGCACCCAATAATACATTCAAGTATATGTACCTTTTGATCCAGTTGCATGATTCCTTTTGAAAATGCAGAAACCTCTCATTTACGCTTGTATTCAGAGCAGTCAAAGTTTGGGCAGCATCCTGTACTACTAGACGGAAATCCTCTAGCTCTGTATTTTTGTCCTAAAAAATAAAACGGGCCAAATTATTGTGTTAGAGAATTAGTGGGCCTACAAAAGCTGGTGAAATTAGTAGAGCAGTCTGCGTTTTGCTTTTGAACATCATGATGATGGGGAGTGTAACAGTGAGAGATTCAGATAACGAAACTTACCTCGTTTTTCATGTTTTCCATTTTTTCTCCATCTACCATAAAGTAAGAAACTCATGTTAAACTAAGCGCACCGATAGTGATGTTTTAATATAGATGGAACTGGAAATGGTTGAATTTAAACTTGCCTTTTACGCTAGCTCATTCAACTCTGCTGAGAACTAACACAAGGAAGAAAAGAAAAGAAAAGAAAATAAACCATTTAACATTATATCATTTTTTTAATAAATTTTTTATTGTTATTGATGATTTACAATCATTATCATTATTATTATTATTAAGATTAAGATGATCATTACGGTTATTAAAGGAGGCGAATGAATGGCAAACTTACGTTTTTCTTCAGTTCTTTTACATCCCCTGAAACCTATAACAATAAAAAAAATGCAAATTAATATTCGTTATCAAGTTTCTTTGTAGAATAATACTCTCTTCTCATTTCTTGGTCATAATGATTTAATGACGATGATGGCTATATAGGTGCTATTCTTCAAAAAATGGTTAAAAAAATTAGGAGAACGCTGATAATGTCTGTGATAATGACACTTAAGATGACCTATAGCAATGTTTATCATTCTCCCCCAGGCACACAACAGTCTCGGATTAGAAATAAAATTTAGATCACCACACTGCAGAAGTTAAAACAGAAGACATGCAGTGTTGTTAACACAAAAACGATGCCTCCAGCCTGCGCTCCAGGGAATCATTAAACCTCTGTTTAAAATATGTATATTTCTGTTCCATTACAATTACATTACATTACAACAACAATCAAGGAGTTAAAGTCCTTTTGGGGCCTTTAGTCTTATGTACATATATGTATCCATTTATTTCACATCGGTGCACTTTTGCTTTTAACTGACCACTGCTAATGATTTAGAATTACGCCTACCGAGTAATCTCTTAATGCAGAGAGGTTCCAAACCAACTCTTGCATATTCTTTTGAAGTTCTGACGTTTCTAGAAAAGGGGAAACAATAAGAAAAACATAGAAAATGTAAACAAAATGAATTGAATAAAAATAGTGCAACAATTTTGAAATAAAAAAAAGCATCATTAGCCTTCGAAAAATCTCATGGAAAAAATATCTTGGACCATTAATTAAATGCTGCATTCAGCAAATTTCTGAGGCATACAATTAAAGAAACTAGAGTAATTGAAGCTGATCAATTTTGGAATGTGTACGGACACGTTTTGGCCGGTTAATCACCACATTTTCTTTCATTTTCTTTCTTCTTTCGAAGAATGTTGCTATTTCAGTCAAAGTGATAATTGGCGACAATATATAATAAGCTGAGGCTGGGTTTTAAAGTAAGAACACATTCGGAAATATTTTGACTGATCTAACTCTCGTGTTGGCCTTTTTTATGATCCAGGCCTGTTTGTAAATGGATACTGTAAAGGATATCGACAACTCAAAGCGAGTAAATCACCCCGCGTAGACTAATCCATCTCACTAATCCAAAGCGGTAACGTCCAAATTATACTTCCTGTTAGCACTAATAATATATTTTGTTCAGATAGGAACGATGATGGTGAAGTTCTCCTTACGCAGGCGGAGATGGCGATGATTTTGATCACGGGGTGATGTGAATGCGAAGATGGTTGATCTCATTCGAAACAGTATGTCTACATGCGGACACGGTATCGCCGGATGTGAGCCAGGTTGAGAGCTGGCACCCTCTCTGCTTTGCCGCTGCTGGCATTTCTTCTTGTCTCCACGCGTTCTCTTTTTTTTTTTTTTTTTTCCACATTACACATTTTGTGTTAAGATTAAATTTCTCAGCGTAATGAATTCTTTGTCCACTTTAAAGACGGGCCGGGAGAGATTAAGCTAGAATGGATTTAACATGCGCAAACCTTAAGTCATAACCCTTTGTTTTTCTTGTGTGATATTTCAAAACAAATAAATCTCATGACTATTTGTCGAACATTTTCTTTGTTTCGCTTTCATCCCTCGCGTGTTTGAGATAGCAATAAATAAGGCCATTGCACTGACATAGTCCGAGAGAGTTTCACTGAGCATTATGAAATGAACATCGTTCAAGACCGTCAGTTCCTCGAGTTCAATAGAGCACAACTAAAGTCCTCACTGTGGCCTTATTGTTAATTGATTTTTTTATGAATTTGAATCATATATGATTAGAAATAGAACGTTATCTTTGTTCGACTAAAAAGCAATGTTTTGTTTACTAAAGTGACCATGATTACCAAGAAATGTGTGAGCCGTGTAAAATGATGTGACTTTTACATACTAGACGAAATACATACACAAAACTGAAGAAAAGTCATATTGTTAAGTTATAATTTTATTTTTTCACATCAAGTTTCCTTTGAGAGCCATATTTCCGACAGTTATAACATGTCAGTCGCTTAAGTAGCGGTGATTTTAGATGTTATCCGCTTGTGGCTGCTAGTACTCCTTTTTAACTTGATATACTACCAAATACCTCTTTTTCGTCCGTTTAGTATAAAATACAATATGAAACAAAATATTTTTGGAAGCTATTGTAAGGGACTGAAGTCTATATTTAGCATTGATAACAAACATAAGTGCTGATTTAAGTATATGAAAGCAACGGTTCGTAGTAAAACTGAGAGGTTTCTGGGTAACATGACCACTTAGTTTTACAAAACTTTCTTCCACGGTATAACAAGGGCGTAGCTGGGGGATTTCCCTAGGGTTCTTAGGTACCCGCGTCACGCGTCGTCTGTTGCCCCCTCCTCCCCCCCTCCCCCCATTTGTATGCGTTATTGTTTTAGGTTATAATAGATACCCTTTGTTTGACGCTGTGAGCCCTTTTTAAAAGACCTGGCTACGCCCCTGTTTAAAGATGGACAAATTTTGTACGGGAAAAGACTCAAGATAATTCTTTGCGGTATTGACCAAGTGGTAAGAAGGTAAATAAAGCTAGGGCAAAAAGAACGGGCGCGAAAGTTAGTGGTGAAAAAGAAACCGAGTTTCTGATTAAATAAAACATGTACACCTTTGAATGAGTATGAATGACAGGAAAGTCTCAGCCTATTAAATTTTAGATATTTTTGAATTGTTACTTCGACATCAGGTAAAGTAAACACAATATCGCTAAATAGGGTGATTTCAACTGAGTGTGGAAAGTAATGCTACTTTGCTTTGGTTTTGCCGTACTTCGCAATATGATTGGTGTAGAACTGAAACTCACACCATACTTTAAATCAGTCAGATTGAAAACTAAATCCAATTGCAATCTTGGTTTATTGCGTTTTCTCACGCTTAGGGCAGATAACCTGTTGTTACTCCTCCTCCTGATTATGCTCCTTTGACTTTCCTTTGATTTTGGTTTTACAACACTCAACTGAAATGCCCTCTAAAAGAAAACCTAGTTCACTGGGCATATTTGAAAAATAGAATTAACGTTAAACCACTGAATTGTTCTTCGTCTCGTTTCTGATTCAACACTGTATTATCTTCTTTACAAAGAGTCCTGTTCGTTAAATGGCTTTCCGTTTTTCCTCTTATGACCTACACTCCCAGTAGTGCATGTTGCAATACATCTTTGCTTCTCCACTTGTTAGGGTACCTTCGCAATAGCACTTGTAGGTTCTCTTTCCACCTGAGTGGGAGCTAGTTAATTTAGCAACTTTCGCGTCGTTTGTATCACAGTTTACGCCAATAAAGATTTTACCCTGGCAGGAAAAAAAGATAATAATATAATACTGATGATAATGAAAAACTACGTCAAGAGTTCGAAATGAGCAAAACATCTCTTTCCTTTTCGATGGGGGTGTACACACGACGTCGCGAAAGCCGACGTCTACAATCTGGGCAATTCTTACTGTGAGTTCTCCATGCTGAAATCGGATATCACAAATACAACCTATACGTCTAGGAACGTAAGAAGAGAAAAATCCACGTATTTTCTAATACTGGCCATGTACGCTGGATTACTGGTTCCCTCGGCGGGCAGGTCATTCGTGTAAAATCGATTTTCGTTGTCACTCATAGGGCAAGATACAGAGTCATGAAACCGGGCCAAGCGAATTTTTTGTAAAACTGATATTTGCAAACGTTTTTTGTTCCATGACAGACCGAGAATATCATTGCTCCGTGTGGGATTAAAGAAATAACTCTAAATACACTGAAAGGTATGAAATTGTCAAAATAAATAAATGAATAAAAAAAAAATTATCTTACATTTGGCAGCAAAATGAACTTTTTCAACAAGTTTGTGCTGTATTTCGAAACAAGTTGTTTAAGGTTTTCTAATTTTTTTTTGTTTTCATGATGATGGAGATTTAAGACTTAAAAGAGCGGAAATTAGCTTTGATTCTCAAAATGGATGCGGCCTATGGCTCAACTTTCTGACTTTAAGGGAGGCTTTAGGACATTTGGACAACTCCTTGGACCGGTAAATATTGTCATAGGTGTTAATATTTCGTAAAGTATTTTCAATAAGATACTTATTTTTTTTGTCAGAATCAAACAGAATCAACTTTCGCAATCTTCAACTCAACATACGTTTTGTTCCGTCGCTGTAATTTCTTGTCGGGCGATCGAGGCTGCTGACATGCCAGGGCTAGATAAATTCTTATAAACGCAGGAACTGGCCCCGGGTCCAGGTGAACCCTGGGTACCATTGAACCCAGATGGTCCGCGAAGACCCTGAACACCAGGTAGTCCAGATGGTCCTGCAGGGCCCTGAGTACCATTATATCCCGGAGGTCCGGGAGGTCCGGGAGGTCCGGCAGGTCCAGCAGGTCCGGCAAGTCCAATGTCCCCCTTTGTACCATTATATCCTGGAGATCCGGCAGGTCCGGCAGGTCCGGCAGGTCCAATGTCACCATTAGTACCGTTGACTCCAGGTGGTCCTCTGACGCTCGTGCTGCCAGTAGTATTTTTCACCTACTCAATAATAAATAAAATACAGCAACAACAATGATATTTACAATAACCATTACAATAATGATAACAATGAAAATGATGACAATTATAATGACAATGCCAACTGCCACAATTACAATGAGAATGACAGTGACAGTGTCAATGACAATGAAAATGAAAGTGACAGTGACAGTGACAGTGACAGTGACAGTGACAGTGACAGTGACAGTGACAGTGACAGTGACAGTGACAGTGACAGTGACAGTGACGGTGACAGTGACAGTGACAGTGATAGTGATAGTGACAGTGACAATGATGGTGACAGTGACAATGATAGTGACAGTGACAGGTGAAAGTGAAAGTGAAAGCGATAGTGACCGTAGCAGCGACACTGACAGTGATAGTGAAAGTGGCAGTGTAAATAACAGTGACAGAGACAATGACAGTGAAAATGACAGTGATAGTGGCAGTGGCATTGCTAAAACGGGAGGCTCACAGATGAAAAGTTTCATTGATGGAAAACAACATTGACCTAAGTTGGTTGTGAGAAACGCTCTACATTGGAGACCTTTACCATGCTTATTTGCTAAATATTGGATTATTTGTTACTAAACTGCGAACTACGGAGTTTTATCTTTTTACAGCTTGGACTAATATGGTAAGGAATGGTCACCACAGATTTATCGATCTAACCATACTGACCATGACTGCCCATCATGGTCTATAGGCTTACACCACACCATCCCTTATCACTGATATATCTATACCCCTAGTCAATGGTCAAGATATTTTTAAAACTCTTGGGAAGTTAATCATACTTGATCGTTCTATAACTCAATCATATGTTTTTGTACTCTTCGGCCCATCAAACAGGCTCTTCGTATTTTGGCCCGACACAATCAAGCCAAAATACTCATAGCGAGAACTACGGATATTTTCTTGACTATTAAAAGATAGAAATAATGTGTCAGTTGCCTTATCACGAAGCTTGCGAAGGGGAAATAATGAGTCCATAAACAGGCGTGAAACAAGTGATAAATGAAAAACTATGCCTATACCAAAATGCATATCATTTTACAAGTTTTAGCTTTAGGTAACGACCATGTAAACAGTCGAAATGTTTCATAAAAGTATCAATTACTCGCCTAAGTCGGTACATACGGTCCGTCGTGGAACTTTTGGAACAATAGGCTGAGTTGAAGCTAATCGCGATTGTGACATTTCCAAGCTTGACATTAAATACAAAAAAAAGAGTATCCCAAATATCAAACGCTGAACCTTGCAAACTGTGAGGAGTTATACGTTTGACAATCTTCGAAAATCCTCTTTTTTACTCACGATGGAAAACAGTCTCTGTTTTTGCGTTAGGCTTAGAGGCATATGTGTACCGCAAACTTTGTGATGAGCATTAGATAGCTTAACTTTAATTCAAAGAGACCATGATATCGTGCGGCTCAGGGAAATGACTTGGCATTGCAAGATATCTCAGATCAGGTCAGTCAGAGGTTGATTCGAAATTCAGTACGCAATGACACACAAAAACAAATTCAAGTATATGTACCTTTTGATCCAGTTGCATAATTCTTTGCTCAAAATGTAGAAACCTCTCATTTACACTTGTATTCAGACCAGTCAATGTTTGGGCAGCATCCTGTACTGTGAGACGGATATCCTCTAGCTCTGTGTTTTTGCCCTAAAAAATGAAATGGGCCAAATTATTGTGTTAAAGAATTAGTGGGCCTACTAAAGTTAGTGAAATAAGTAGAGAAGTCCATGTTTTGCTTTTGAACATAATGATGATAAGGACTGTAACAGTGAGAGATTCAGATAACGATACATTCGTAATGTTTATGTTGAAACTTACCTCTTTTTTAATGTTTTCCATTTCCGTTTCCATCTGCCATAAGGTAAGAAACTCATGTTAAACTAAGTCCACGAATAGAAATTTTTCCTAATATAGATGGAACTGGAAATGGATGAATTTAAACTTGCCTTTATCGTTAGCTCCTCCAACTCTGCTGAGACCTAACATAAGGAAGAAAAGAAAAGAAACTACTCAACATTATATCATTTTTTTGATGAATGGTTTATTGTTATTGATGATTTACAATCATTATCATTTTTGTGATTATTAACATTAAGATGATCATTGCGATTATTAAAGGGGGTGGAGGTGAATGAATGGCAAACTTACGTTTTTCTTCAGTTCTTCTACATCCCCTGAAACCTATAACAATAAGAAAGAATGCAAATCAATATTCCTGCTCAAGTTTCTTTGTAGAATAATACTCTCTTCTCATTTCTTATTCATAGTGATCTAACGATGATGATGGCTATATAGGTGTGCAATTTGCATGATAAGGTTCGCACCTGCTATTCTTTCAAAGGTGGTTCAAAAAATTAGGAGAACACTGATAATGTCTGTGATAATGACACTTAAAATAACCTATAGCACTGTTTATCAGGCTCCCCCAGGCACACAACAGTCTCGGATTAGAAATAAAATTTAGATCATCACATTGAAGAAGTCGAAGCAGAAGAAGTGCAGTGTTGTTAACACAAAAACGATGCCTCTAGCCTGCGCTCCAGGGAATTATAAAGCTCTTTTTATAATATGTATATTTCTGTACCATTACTAACAATCAGGGAGTTAAAAGTCCTTTTGGGGCCTTTAGTCTTATGTACATACATGTACCCATGTATTTCACGTCAGTGCACTTTTGCTTTTAACTGACCACTGCTATTGATTAAGAATTACTCCTACCGAGTAATCTCTTAATGCAGAGAGGTTCCTCTCCAACTCTTGCATATTCTTTTGAAGTTCTGACGTTTCTAGAAAAGGGGAGACAATAAGAAAAACATAAAAAATGTGAACAAAAATAGTTAAGAATTTCAAATGAAAAGATGAACAGATGGATAAGTAGATAAAAGATGAATCAATAAACACATGTTGAAGCATTATACATCCCTTAGTGAAATCTTTCGATAAGCAGATTTTGAAACCATTCATCAAATATTTTTCGAATAAAAGAGGGAGAAATAAGACATACTATTCTTGAACTAGTACAAACGGTCACTGTCAAGAGTAATAGCTGTTCAACTATCAAAAATATGGTAAGTAAGGCCTTCTTTCCTGCTTGTTATAGGTAAATATTTTTCCAAGTTAGTTCATCATTCGTAAGGAAGAAGGTACATTGTATGACTTTTTTAACAGCTTTACATTTACGAGAAATTACGTCGAAATAGAGAAGTAAAAGAACACTACGATCTGGACTTGGAAAAGAGTCGATTATGGCTTGCAGCATTTTACGTTCCTTCGAATTTGACAAAAACAGAATTCTGTTTAATAATTAATTATCTACGCATATTAGTGCCCCGAGAAACGCTTCTAGATATTGGAAAAAGATGAAATAAATGAATAATTTTGCTCTAAGGAGCCTTCGATTACTATTTACAATTCAATGACTCGGAACGTTTGCATTATTTACAATGTCTTCGGCCTTTGCGTACTACATGACGCTAACTTGGTGCTAAGTGGCTCACATCATTAAGATACCCTTTTGAAGAACGCACATTATATTTCAAAGATAGATTATTCGTTAGTTAAGCGAAGCTAAATAAATACGATATTCTTCCTCATATCCTAAGAAACCGTAAACCACTATTCAGCCAAATTAAAGAAAGAGATGTAATAGGACAGTAACAAACAAAGAATAAAGATAGGAACTGGATTCGCTTTTTTATTGCTCACATTAACATTAATTTTATTAACACTGATTAGGGATGACCTCAGAGGGCTAATTTATTATCTACAAGAGGAATTTCCTACCTCGCGGTAACCTCAAATGAAATCAAAATAGAGGAAAATTGCTCATTTTCTATACTCTAATTTTTGAATTAAATGGTGTAACACAATTTTCAAAAAAAAAAAAAAAAAAAAAAAAAGAATCATTAGCCTTCGAAAAATCTCATGAAAAAAATCTCTTGGACTATTAATTAAATGCTGCATTCAGTTAATTTTTGAGGCATACAATTAAAAGAAACTAGAGTAATTGAAGCTGATCGATTGTGGAATGTGCACGGACACGTTTTGGCCGGTTAATCAGCACATTTTCTATCACTTTCGAAGTATGTTGCTATTTCAGTCAAAGTGACAATTGATGACAATATATAATAAGCTGAGGCAGGGTTTTAACGTAAGAACACATTCGGAGATATTTTGACTGATAGAACCCTCATGTTAGCTTTTTTTTATGATCCAGGCCTGTTTGTAAATGGATACTGTAAAGGATATCGACAACTCGAAGTGAATAAATCGCCCCGCGTAGACTAATCTATTTCGCTAATCCAAAGCGGCAATGTCCAAATTAAACTTTCTGTTAGCACTAATTATATACTACGTTCAGATAGGAACGATGATGGTGAGGCTCTCCTTACGGGGTGATGTGAAAGCGAAGATGGTTGATCCTCGCTCGAAACAGTATGTCTACATCATGCGGAAACGGGATTGCCGGATGTGAGCCAGGCTGAGAGCTGGCCCCCTCTCTGCTTTGCCGTTGCTGACATTTCTGCTTCTCCCCCTCCAAGCGTTCTTTTTTTCTTTTTTTTTTTTTTTTTTCCCACATTACACATTTTTTGTTAAGATAACATTTCTCAGCGTAATGAAGTCTTTGTCCACTTTAAAGACGGGCCGGGAGAGATTAAGCTAGAATGGATTTAACAGGCGCAAACCTTAAGTCATAACCCTTTGTTTTCCTTGTGTGATATTTCAAAGCTCTAGCCGTCGTTTTTGACATGGATATCGCTAACTTTACCCAAGCGTCAAACATGTAAAATCTAGAACATTATTTAATGCAAAAGTGTAGATACTGAGGTCGTAAGGCCTTTCGCTAAATTTTCAAAACGTGATATTGTTCGTTGGAGTGGTGATTCTTTGAAAGTCAGAAATTAAAGCATTCACGATCCTTTTGACCTTATATTCACGCCATCCTTGAAATAAGATGACAGAACGACACTTGAATCATTCGTGGGTAACGCAAATATACTAGAAGAACATATCATTTTGGATATTGCTCAATAGCTTTTAAGTAGGCAGCTCCGGGGTTAATACCTTCATAAAAATACGTCTTTGCAAATCTTATAAAAAAGCCTTCTGGGAAACTCGATTGGATAGAGCTCTTGTTTCGACAGCTATTCCATATTTAAATTGCTACATTTTTTGTCAATGTTTCATTTTATGAAATATAATTGACTTAAAATTTGAAATGCCCCCTAATTGTTTTTCTTTACAAAAACTAGTTTGAGGTTGTTTGTGGAACTGTAATAACGCTTGCACAAGTATCCTGAGTCTATACAATTCATTGTTAATAAGAAAGAGAAAAACGAAGAAAAGACGCAGACTTTGTAATTATCGTCGTCTTCAGTTGCTGTGGAAATGAGATATTCATGGAATGTATGGAAAGCTATTTTGTTTACGCTCCAAATGGCCGCGGAGATGATTGCTTATAAGTTACGGTAATGGTGTTTACTGACGACAACTTTTCGTAAAACTTACGAAAGAAAAAGTGGATGATGGTGTTATCAGATGTTCAGACACAGTTGATACCATCGAAATTTGAAATACAAATAAAGTGCTCAGTCTGTATTTGATTGACCTAAAGTGTTTGATTACTCCTAAGCCATGTAATCACGCAATCCCGTGTCCCAATGATCGAAACCCTATCACTTTCTTTCTGTTCTTCCAATTGCCTCTTTCCGAGTGTACGAAAGGTTTTGCTTTGTTTTTTTTCTTTTCTCTCAGAACATTTCATTCTCTGACATCTTTAATCTATAGCTAAATCATATAACGTTTCTCGACAAATCCTTTAATGATCTGACGAGGACAAAAGGGTCAACAAATTTTCAAGCTCTGTTTTCCATCGTTTTTTTGTTTTTTTGTTTTTTAACATACGACATCACTTGGATTGAACTTATACTCGCTTAAAAAACCTCTGATAAGGGTTTCTTCAATTCGATGTTCTTATGCTGTTGTTCAGAAAGTTCTCCATTTTTTACTTTAGTCTAAAAATAGCTGTCAGAATTTTTATAAAGAAATGTCCTCCGCAAGTGACGGTATTCTTTGAATTCAACTTCACCCAAAGCCCATAAGCATCTGCGTAGTGAACGTTTCAAACACCGGAAATACGTCAAAACAAGATTTAGTTGGACTATGAACAATGTTGGGCAAACCAAATGGGTTATTTTTCTTGCGTGAGCAAATTCATTAACGGTGTTGTCTTTAACGTGTGTCATGTCCAAACAACAATAAGATTCAATACCTAATAAAGCAATTTCAAAATCGTTAGCTGCGGCATCAACTAATCTATTCCCACAAGTAAGAGAGGACATTTTTGAGCACGCAACGGCCGATGATCTATGTATCGTTTGCCTTTTAGCAAAGATATCTATAAATTTCAAGCATCGAAACCTACGCGGTCTGTGATATAAAGAGTACGAAAACTGGCCGGAAATTCTGGAATATTTCCCCACCGATTCGATTTTAAATCATGACTGAAAATTATGATAATGATTACAAAAAAAAATAACCATAATATGAATGAACATGGTAAGAAATATTACCTGTTTTCCCAGAGCAGGAACATTGCATTGGTCCAACCACTCCAAACATCATCAACAAGGTGAGCATCAGTGCGGCTGCCGACATGAGACACATAGTCAACAAAAGAACGCGATCGCAGGCGGAAGATCGCCGTGACGACAAATTTTCCTCCAGATTCCATAAGTCAAGTCTTTTAGAATGAGGTGAACAGCTTCTCCTTTCATTTTGTAACCTATTCGTACCATTTTTTATTACATCGGTTTCGGGAAGGCCGTCAAGGCCCTCTTGACATTCATTAGCACCACCATGATCAGTTGTCTCAGAAGAATCCTTCTCATTGTTATTGATTAGACAACCCTTTTCTTTCATGGAGCCAAGCGAGTCTGATAACTCGGTTCCCTCTTCGTCTGCTGAGGGTGGCACTGGCTCTGGGGTAACACGATTGATTAGAAACGCCATTTTTGTGTTCTTCCGATAGCACGCCTTATGTCTTTCGACGTTGTCTCTTTGCTTTCTAGCCTGTTCGGTCAGGACATCCGGAATGTGGCCGGATTGAAAGCAATGTGTGCAATAAGATACTTTCTTGGGTGGGAGGCGCGTGCTGTGATCGACAGGGTTTCTGTGGAAACTGACAGGTAACAATCAATCAGAAATGTAGACACTTGTTTATGCCTGCTACGATTTATCCAAGCCTCACGCAGATCAATAATGGGGTCATTGACATCAGTGAAATGCTGTTTAGCCTGCAAAGCTCCCAACTCTGATCTTTCTCTTGAGGGTGCCGACGATAACTTGGTGACAAACTTTAGGAGTTAAATTGTAACATAAAATTGGTATTTACACAAGCAAACTAGCCTAACCGTAGCCACCTGTAACCGAATTGCATAGTTATGACTAGTAATGATAGGCTTTTGCAATTATTTACATTCACTCTCGGTGGTCGCCAAATTCCTTGCAAATTAGGTGTCGCACAGAAACCAAAATATTGTGGCGTATTAAGTCTTAACTAAACCACGATTGGCCTGTGTATCTGGCGGGTTTGTGGGAATTAAGAGTGGCTTCCACAAAATTGCCTGTTATAATTGATGACATGAAGGTGAATGTACACACACGTTCTCTAACACAATAGTACCCTGCACTTACAACCGGACTACATCTCAGTCATTTTTACCATTTTTGAAAACGCAACCATACTCCATCTTGCGTGGTCTTTCATGAAAGAAGACCACTTGCAGCAATCTATTTGTACATCCTAGATTTTCTATTGAGATCAAGATGATGCTCGAACAAACTGAGAGAGCGTTGGTTGGTTGCTTCGTAGCTTTTTTACACTAAAATTGGAGCAAAATTTGTGAAACAATTTATGTCTCTGGCGTATAGGTTTACAACTGTACTTATGAAGAGGTCTGATTCTTATGTTTTCTAGGAAAGAGTAATGCGCAGCATTGCCTTAAAACAGGTATGCTTAGAAAACACCCCATAAGAGTTGAGTTAAAAGACATTGATTTCTGAATACGGTAAAGCTAGACAAAATTTGCCCTATTCACCCTTTTAGAAGCAGAAAATTATCTGAACAATTTATGCTGCAAAACGCATTACCTGTTAATGAGATTCATAAAATCTCTATGTTTAGTTACCATTTTGAACATACGCTAAAACTTTTCGGTATGAAATTGTAAAAAAAAATGTTCTTGGCAATAACGGAAACATAGCGGCAATATCCTGTTTCGAAATCGAACGAATTTTAACCAACTTAGGCACAATTTATAATGTGCGTGTATAGCCTGACAATGACACTGAATCTTACATTGTCACTTGACTTATTACGCCATGTAAACCTGCATTCAAGGCGCATTCTTTAGTCTTGATTACAAAACCACATCGAAACCCTTCATCATCATCGTTGACGCTTAATAAAATAATCGTAAATCGAAACTTTTATCATTCTCTTCACATTGATGGCCTCAGCAGCAGGAAATAACATTTGTTCAGTAATCGATTTTGAGAATATGTATCTGTGGTGCTAAGCATGGCCATGTGCCTATTTTAAGTGCACCCTTTCAATCTAGAAGAGAAAGTGTGTTATCGGTATAAGTGCCATGTAGAAGGACCAATTTACTTTTACTTTTCACGTGTAAAGTTCGATCAGAAATGTTAGTTCGTTCTCCGACCCACGTGCGTAACGGATTTTTTTGATCAATTTGGGTTTTTTTTTTTGGTTTTTTTTTTTAGAAAAAACATGAGCTTACCCCCGTACCATACTGGTATTGGAAGTTTGTCTTAAGGGGCCGAAAATGTCACGATGCGGTAATATCAGTTTGATTGAAACAAGCTGATATGCGATTTAGCTGTAACATTATACTTTTAGTTTTCTTCGGAGACTAAAAAACAACTTAAAGCCTTAGGCTATTCTAGGTCGAGACACGAGGAACGGATGATGAAGAAATTCACCAATCTATAATAGAGTCTACCTGTAAAATTTTTCAAAAACATCATATGATCAGTTAAAACCAACATCTTGAATCAATTTGTACGAGGTCGTGGGGGGGTGATGGCGCTATTTTAAGGTATTTAGAGGGTTAGAAAATGCGAGTTGGTAACGTAAGATAGTAATTTCTTTTTAATGATACCGAACTCTGGCCGGATAATGTTTTAGTTAAAACATAATACAGTGTGTTTTGTTTTAGTGGTTGGAAACTTGAAGTCTTAATAGGAGGGCTAAGCTTACTTTCTCGATGTGCAGACACTGGAAATCTTCTGGTTAGGTTACGTTTGCTTTCGCAATGTTAGTTTTCCCTCCTCAGTAATTTCTTAATCAATGGTTTCAGATTTCCTTCATTCCCTATTGTTTTTCGCGTGTGACCTTAATGTTTGCTCTCCGAAGATTTAGCGATTACACCTTATTTTTTGGTTACTTGGCATACTTCCAGACCCTTTGTTTCGACTTTTTTAGATTGAAACACTCAACAAGTGCCTAAATTGTTTTAAATGTTGGCATACATGTGATTAATTTGTTTTTCATGTTTGTATTACATGACGCTTAACAGTACTGAGCGATAAGGTTACTATTCCCACGACTAGTCATCGTCATGCACGTGACAAATTTCACAAAGCACAACACTTTCCATCCCACGCTCATGATGCCTAAACACCTAGAAATTTTTTCCGTGGTTACTTTGTAAATAAGGAGGAAAGGTAAAGCTTCGTGCACTCACGTTTGAAACTCTACTCACTTCACCTAATATTAAAATGCCTCTAAAACAGTGGTCAAAATTTCTGGCTTTTGAAGACTATTGCAAATATTCATTGCCGGCACAAACTTTGTCATATAAGCTCGCGAGCTTGCAGGCAACGCTATCTTGGCCTTAATGGGAATGAAAACAAACAGAGGCACGATGGTTCGTACGTGCTTCCTAATCTACATAAAAATGGTAGTTAGGAATTTTCTCTTAGAAATTCTTGGGAAGATTGAGGATGATAGGATTATTCGCTAGAGCACGCTGTCGATTTGAATGAAATTTGTTGTCAAGATAAATCCGTTTAATTATCTTCCCGTAGAATGATTCTTCTGTTGTTTCTCAATTGCAGTAACATATTCCAGAGTGGTATAAGTACGACGATACACTGATTTTTATGACTTAAGAAACAACTATTTCAAATATTAATCTTTGCAAAAGCTTTTGCAAAGATTTCGGTGATAACAGGGTCTACCTGCATGTTTTAGGAAGGGGGCAAGTAATAAAGAAACCATTCGTAAACATGGAATGTTTTCTTTGGAAACGTACTGAATAGAATTGACGTTTTCCTTCTTCTGTATGAAATTTGCTCTCGATACGCAGTTAGATGCATTATTTCACGTACATCTAGAGTATTGCAAATTGTTTTCACGTTGTAAAAAAACTCCCGAGTTACGTTTTTCTTGTTCTAATGGTGCCCGGAAGTCCAAAGTAAATAAAAGCTTGGTTGCTTTTTATTAACTGACTTTCATGAAAAATCAATTATCTCGCTGTTATGTTTAGACTAAGCGCGAAAAATAATCACAATGTCCTAAATATGTTTGTTTAAGTCACATTTGTATAAACTTATAAGCTGCATATCTTTGTGGAGAAGGATCAAGAACGAAGGCTTCTGAGCTATTAGGTACGAAAGGCAAGCTATCAAAACAAGTAAATCACATTCTTTCTAGATCGTTTTAAAACAATTTAAACAGGAATGCCATCTTCTGAATTGCTTGACTTGATCAATACTTTTTAGAGGAAAAAGAGGCTCATAATAAAATTGAGGTAACGAAATAAAGCATCGCCCAAATCCTTGGAGGTTTTTTTCGACTTAGTTGAGGTTGTATGTTTATTTTGTTCTCAACTGGTCTGTAATCTTTACCACAACATGCTTAATCTATTTATTGCTTTTTGATGCGAACCTCTGTGAAGAGCTGCTTGATCAGTCTCACTGTATATTATGCCATGCTAGATTAAGTTCAAATTGATTTTCTTTTATGATGTTAATGATGTATAATACATGCCGTCTCCGAGATGAGAAATCTGAGATTATTAAATTTTTGCGTTAGACTGCACTTTACAAACAATAGTTGAAATCAAGATTACCTCGCAGTCTCATATAAGAGGCTCAGTTCCCTTTACTGTTCGTGGATTAATATTCAACTGACTCCTCGCACGTACAAGCAATAGGAGGATTTAGGAAGCTCTCACGTAAATGAGAAACGATTTTGGTATCAGTCCAAAAAAAGCCGGCTATATCTGTTTTCATAGCAATCATAGTCCATATCAACGTAATTAAGTATGAGATCTGTGTAATAATCGGGTTCGGCATATCAAACAACTTCGAGCAAGTTCCGCATAACATGAACAGAAGTGAGTTAACAAAATCACGCACGCCCTCTTCCTGAAGCCATAGACCCAAGCTCAGAAAAAACCGAATAACTTTTTATTTCTTAAGGAGTGTAGCACATTGGTCCTTATCTCTCCCAGGGCTAAATACGTGTTCAGGAACACAAAATAAATACACAATGGTTTGCTATTTATCAGCTCTCTGCCGACCGTTAACGGGTTCCTAACATACCCTATCAAAATGACGAGTTATCACTGAGCGGGAACGATTACTGGTAATTGATCACTTCTCATAGCAACAATCATAAACTAAGATTAAAATCTGGGAAAGGAAGGTTTCCTTTCTGTTCTATTTTTCTGATCTTGAACTTTAATCGATTTGTCTAATTTTATTATTCGCTTGCCATCTTAATTCGCGATCCATACCCATTATTGTCTCGTTCATGTTTTTTTTTTCTTGCCCTGAAAATCCATTAATGAGGAAATTCTTTCCCATCAGCGCCAATTCCAATGAACTTAAAAAAAAAAACCTAAAATATTAAGTAGTTGGACTCTTATTTGTGTGGATTTCAACTGGGAAATCACATTTAGTGAGAGAAAAAAAAAAAGAATTTCGTTATTTTTTTATTTTTCACTTCAGTTTCTCTCAGTTTGGTATTAACATAACGCAGCTTACGTTTGACCATAACCTAATTACTACTTCTCAAAAACGATATCAGTTACCTTTTTTTTCCAGCTCTAAATGAAAGATTACCGGAAATCCAAAGTAAATGCAATACTTC